TACTCTTATGCAACTGAAAATGAAGCCAAGTGATTTGACAAAGGCTGCTCAGTTAACAACATTGGTACTAGACCCCAGGATCAGCACTTATTCTACCACCCAACACTACTCTTTCAGTCAATTATTCCTAAGATTCCTTCAAAGTTGCATAATAATAATAGCTAGTATTTGAGTGCTTCATATCTGCCATGTATTAATCTAACAGCTTTACTTCTCTTAATCTAAAATTTTATCTTCTCTTAACTAATTTAAAATTTTATCTTCATGACATTCAGTAATTCTCTTCTTGACTATCCCATAAAACAGGCAATTATCATTGCCATTTTAAAAATGAGGACACAAGAGAAGCTAAGTAAACTTGCTCAAAATTGCAAAATATGAATGATGGAGATGGGATTCAAATAATATTTAGGGACATTTTTTTACTTCCGTTGTAGAATGTGAAATTCTTGTAAGCATGCCCTTGTCTTGTACATAGTCACACCCTTCCTCCCCAAATCTCCAGTGCCTAACACAGTGTAACGCACATCAAAATTTATATCTACTAAAACAGTGAAGTATTTAATTTTACCTCATTTAAACTGTTAATGCATCAATTCAATACACTACTGATTGATGTTTATATATAAGGCAGTTTATAAACCTGCTTTCAATCCTTAAAACTTGCTTTACTGCCGGGCGCGGTGGCTCAAGCCTGTAATCCCAGCACTTTGGGAGGCCGAGGCGGGTGGATCACGAGGTCAACAGATCGAGACCATCCTGGTCAACATGGTGAAACCCCGTCTCTACTAAAACTACAAAAAATTAGCTGGGCATGGTGGCGCGTGCCTATAATCCCAGCTACTCAGAAGGCTGAGGCAGGAGAATTGCCTGAACCCAGGAGGCGGAGGTTGCGGTGAGCGAAGATCGCGCCACTGCACTCCAGCCTGGGTAACAAGGGCGAAACTCTGTCTCAAAAAAAAAAAAAAACTTGCTTTATTACAAAGCATGTAATCCTGTTTTACAGGAATCAAATAACTTTTCCAAAACCACAAAGCTAGAAAGAGACAAATCTTAGGCCATTCCAAAGGCCACACACTTGAACCACGTTTGTTTTTTTTTTTTTTTCTTTTTCTTTTTGAGACAGAGTTTCACTCTTGTCACCTAGGCTGGAGTGCAATGGTGCCATCTTGGCTCATCGCAACCTCTGCCTCCTGTGTTCAAGTGATACTCCTGCCTTGGCCTCCCTAAGTAGCTGGGATTACAGGCCCATGCCACCATGCCCAGTTAGTTTTTGTATTTTTGTAGAGATGGGGTTTCACTATGTTGGTCAGGCTGGTCTCGAACTCATGATCTTGGTGATCCACCTGCCTTGGCCTCCCAAAGTGCTGGGATTATAGGCAGGAGCCACTGTGCTTGGCCTAAACCACCCTGTGCAACACAGTTCCTGTTCTCAAAGACCTCCTAGTGCGACAGGGATAATGGTGACCAATTACACTGCAATGTGGTAAGTGCTAAGTAGAAACTTGAGGGCCAGGCATGGTGGCTTATGCCTATAACACTTTGGGAGACCAAGGCAGCAAGATTGCATGAGGCCAGGAGTTTGAGACCAGCCTGGACAACACGGCAAGACCTTGTCTCTTCAAAAAATATAACAATTAGCCTGGCATGGTGGCACATACCTGTAGGCACACCTACTGGAGAGGCTGAGCTGGGAGGATCACTGGAGCCTGGGAGGTTAAGGCTACAGTGAGCCATAATCATGCCACTGCAATCAGCCTGGGCAACAAAGTGAGATCCTGTCTCAAAACAAAGTAGTAGCTAGGAAGAGAAAGAGGGTCTGGGGCAAGCAGGGAAGTTAAACAGATAAGTGAGTAAGCCATTTAGGATAAACAGAAATCTTCTAGCAGAGAATATTGTTCTTTGACCTCTTTAGAACCCTGGTTTAATGGCCTCTATTTTCTTCTAGTCTATCAGCCTTCCTCTTTTTCTTCAGTTTTCTCCCAATCCAGCTTAGATTCCACAGATCATCATTCCAACAACACCCCAAACTCCCTTTAACTGTCTTTATATTTACCTATCTGGCAGTACCTCTACCCTGGTCAGGGACAGTTGCAGATAACAGAACCCACTTAAGCAGAAACATATGTACTACAATAAAAGACTCTGGCAGAACTTCCAGGAACAACACCTAACCCACAAAATAACACCACCTTTGCCACAATCCAAAAGTTATGGCTATCACTGCAGCAAGCCACCAAACCAGGAAGCTATCAGCTGGAGAACTTTACTGCCATGACTGGCAGCAAAACTGGATGACTCGCGCCCTCCTTCTCTTCACATTTAACTCAGTTCCAAATTCAATTTTCACCTTAGGTGCAAGGGAGTCTAGAAAAATGGTTTTTAGTTTTCCATATTTTT